GGTGTGGGGGCGGAAGCCTCCTAGAATTGTTGGCACTTAGGTGGGGCTGATGTCCCTGTTGGGAGACAGCAGGAGGGACGAGGCCTTGGTGTCAGCGTTTGAAGCTGTGGACTTGGTTGGTCCTTAGAGTACTGGGCAGCCATGGAGAGTGTGCATAGGGTAGGCTCATTCGAACAGTCTTTGTAGTGAGGGATTAAAAGAGAAATCAGAATCCCAGTCAGAGGGAGCTGAAGCAGGAGGGCTGAGTTTGAAGCCTGCCTGCACTGGGTATGGAGACCCGGGTCTCAGATCCCTGGAACCTTGTGGGGCTCCCTGAACCTCAGTATAACCTCAGTCCGTATAACAGAGACAAACTTTAGGGCGCTTCTGGAGCTTGGGTCTCACTTGGAGGCCCAGCCCCACTTTGCCACGGGTTGTGGGAGTCAGGTTAGCCCTAAGAAGGGGACAGCAGAGCCATGCCATGCCCCTGCGGCAGAGCAGCAGCCCCTGGACTCCTCAGCCTTTGGTGACTGCTAAGCTTTCTGCTCTTCCTTCCCCAGTGGCTGAGGACACAGCTGCTGCAGGACGCTGGGCGCCAGAACCGCCCACCTGTGGATGGGGGCAGCCAGATGCCCACAGTGCTGGACACCCGCTGTGCCCCGCCAGCAGCCTCCACCCCCACACCTCCTCTGGCACCCCTTCACTGTCCCCTGCACTCCACCATCCCCCAGACACTGGATTTAAGGCACATACAGCTGTGAGGTGACCCCTTCTGCAGCGACCTGGATGGCACCCCACCCAAACATAAAGCACCCACAGCCCAGCTGCCACCCTAGGCACCTCCTCTGGTTTCCTATCACTCTGCTCCTGACCCAGGAGGTGAGAACAGGAAGCCCAGCCTTCAACTCCCTTGGGAGTTTCCAGCCTCCCTCTTAAAGGCCCCTAGGGTTTCCAGGTCTTCCTTGAGAGTTTCCAGGCCTCCCCTGAAGCGATTGAGCTTGAGCTCCCACTCCCCCAGGATTTTCACTAGGTTTTAAAGCCTTTTCCAGTGTCTGCAGGCCCCCTCCTCCTCACAGGAAGGGCCTTAGCTATAGCAGAGTGTCCCCTGTGGATCTCAGAGCCCTGAAGGAATGCCTCCCACTCTCAGTCTTGCTTGTAGCCCTTAAAGATAGTATTGGCACATAATAAACATCATGAAAGTCCTTTGAAGACTGGTTTGTATTTGTGTTTGTTCATTTGGTTTTGTTGTTTTGTTTTGTTTTTTTGTTTGTTTGTTTTGAGCTAGGGTTTCCCTCTGTACCCCTGGCCATCCTGGAACTCACAGAGATCTGCCTGGCTCAGCCTCCCAAGTGCTGGGATTAAAGGCATGTACCATCACCACTTGGCTAGTTTCTATTTTTTTTTTTGGTTTTTGTTTGTTTGTTTGTTTTTGTTTTTTGTTTTTGTTTTTTTGAGACAGGGTTTCTCTGTGTAGCCCTGGCTGTCCTGGAACTCACTCTGTAGACCAGGCTGGCCTCGAACTCAGAAATCCGCCTGCCTCTGCCTCCCAAGTGCTGGGATTACAGGCGTGTGCCACCACTGCCAGACTTATGTTTTTATTTATCTGTAAACAAGATCACACTATGTATGCCAGGTTGGCTTTGAACTCTGGATCCTGCTACCTCAGCCTCCTGAGGGCTGTGATGACTCTTGTACCCAGTGGGGACTGGTGAGACAGTTCAGAAGGTTAGGTTCTGACTGCTTTTAGAGGACCTGGGTTTGGTTCCCAGCACTAACATGGCAGCTTACAACTACATGCAGAGAATCTGATGTCCTCTCTCCAACTCCACAGGCAGCGGGCATGCAGGTGGTGCATTCATCCACGTAACAGAATAAATCTTTAACTGAATAGATGCCAGCTGTGGCAGCATGTACCTTTCAGCCCAACCCTGCGGTTCAGTGGGTAGAGTGCTTGTGGCTCAGTGGGTAGAGTGCTGGTATGGCGTGAATAAATCACACCCTAGACTCCATCTCCAGCACCACATAAACTGGAGACCTGAAGAGGCTAAGGCAGGAGGATTGGGACTTCAAGGACAGCCTGGGCTACAGTAGACCCTGTTTCAACCATCAGGAAATACCTGATGCAAACATACTGGAAGGAGCATCTCCTCGGGTTGGTACAGATGGAAAAAAAAAACTGTAGCCCTTACAGGAACAATATGCAACAGAATGAAGTCCAGCATGGTGGAACAGGCCTGTCCCTGCTGGGGAGGCTGAGGCAGGAGATTGAAAGGCAAGGACAGCCCTCTAACCTCCACCCCAGCTGTCCTTGAATCCCAGCAGTAAGCTGGGGCCATCGAGGGAAAACCGGACAAACACGAAGGCAGAAGGTGGCTGCTCCCTATGGAGTTGGCCCCTGGCGGGAGCAGGAGTGAATCACACAGCTGGCTGTGCCACGCTCTGCCTGGGGACAAAGCGGAGATATTTCCTGGATCCGGAAATACGGGCCAGAGCCTGTCACTGCAGGAAACACTCGGCTGGAGCCTAGCCAACCAGGCCATCAGGGGTCAGCCTGGGAGGCTGCCCGGACGCCTGGGATGAAGGCCCCAAGGAACTGGGGACGTCCCTGGCCCTGAGCCTGAGCTCTGGGATGAAGCTGACTTGGTAACCAGAGAGCCTGACTGAAGGTCTGATAGCCACAGTCCTGGATGCAGACCGTGCTCAAACTCAGCCTTTGTCTTCTCTTCCCAGACACCATGTTCCAAATCTCTACTCTCAGCTAACATGATTGAGAGGCAAGAGGATTACTTAAACCCAAGAGTTCCAGGCCAGCCTGAGCTATACTTTGGCAGCTCACAGACCCCGTTCAGCCCTGGCTGCTCTCAGAATTTCTGATCAGGACTTAAAAGTGAACAAGGTTTATTTGCTTCATTTGTGTTCATTTGTTTCGAGACAAGAGTCTCACTATGTAGCCCATATTGGCCTCCGACTCAGAGATCCTCCTGCCTCTGCCTCCACAATGCTGGGATCGTGGGCACACTAACATGCCTGACTCCATGGGTAAGAGTACTTGCTGCTCCAACAGGAGGAACTGAGTCTCAATCGCCCATATAAAAACGAGGTATGGCTGTGCACCTATAACCCCAGCACTGTGGGTAGACAGGAGGATGCTGAACGCTGGACACAGAATCGAGATGACTTGTGTCCTCCTCCGGCCCTTATGTCCACTAGGACCCCCACATCCACATGTGTGACAGCAACACACACACACACACACACACACACACACACACCCATGGGGCTTGACTCAGATTTGACTACTCAGACCCCTGCTTCAGGCAGCTTTTCTGGATTCCCTAGGTGTAGCCCTTGGTCCCTTGGGCCCCTAGTCTCATCCTGGCTCCCAGGCCCCAGGCAGGGCTCCTGGGCGGAAGGGGGCCCAGTGCCTGGTCCGACCGCCTCCGCTGGGTGAGGCCCTGACTCTTTGGGGATTTCCTGCATTCTCTATAAATAGCCCCCCCGTCGCTTCCCACAAACTTCTCACCCTTCTTGGAAAAAAGGGACTGCGGCCAAGGCCTCCATGCAGCTGTGTGCCAGCCCCGAGGCAGGCAGCCTGCAGTGGGCGAGCTGCCCAGAGGTGCGGCCCCGCCCAGCCAGAGGCGCCACAGCTCCTCCTGGGAGCTGGGGACCCTTCCCCTTTTCTTCAAGACAGGATCTTGCTTTTTAACCCAGCCAGACTTGGAACAGGCGCTGGGGTGACAGGCATGCAGACACCTCATCAATTAGGACGCACACCGGCCTGGGGACAGAAGAGTTACACTAGGAACGCTCGCCCTCTGCTGGTGGGTCACGGCTGCAGCAGGCGCAGCAACATCTCTCGATGTCCCTTAACAGTCAAGTCCCAGGCAACACAAGGCCTCCTCGTAGCCATTCCTTACTCTTAGGAGGACAAGACCCACGTGACCACAGTACCCTACAATATTGCCTGCGACAGAAGGCTCTCCACAAAGTCCAGTGTGGGGTACAACTGATTGCTAAAACCCAAAGCCAGAGGGCATTAGGAGAGGCCACTCTGAGCCTCGTTTCCTTAGCACTGGTGAAGCAGAGAGGGTTGCAGATCCCTGTGGTGAAGCAGAGAGGGCTGCAGATCCCTGTAAGTTTGAGGCCAGTACCATCCATCTACAGAATAAGAACCTATCACAGAAACCAAAAACAGATACAAATAAAATATCTGATAAGGGGCCAGCAAGATGGCTCTGCAGATAAAAGCATTGGCTGCAAGAGGACTTGAGTTGGGTTCCCAGCATTCGTGGGCAGGGACTGCAGCTCCAGGGGATCCCGACTGGCCTCTGCTCTCATACACACCTATGTAACTAAAAATAACCAAGTCTCTTGCTGTCGGTCCTGATGGCCCGAGTTTGATCCCTGAGACCCACACTGCCATTGCAGAAGACCCCCTCCGCCAAGTTGTCCTCTGACCTCCCCATGTGTGCTGTGGACCCCCCAAGGCTGGCACAGGCCTGACACCAGCACTGGGCCCATATTAGTCACGTTTTCATTGAGTGGTGGTGACTGCAGGGATTCATAACTGTTTAAAGCATGGGGTGTGTGTGGAATAAAAAAACCCTCTTGGGTGCTTAGCAGTAAACGGGCCAGTCCTGTCCCCAATCACTAGGAGCACAGTAGAATTGCTGTGTGGGGTAAAAGAGCCTGAGGATTGGGTGACATCAGGGCATGACAGGATCCTGGTGCTGCTGAGCCCAGCTGTGGTCCCTCACACCCTGTCCAGGTGGAGGGTGTGGCCCTGTGGGTCTGAAAACTGACCGGCAGTGAAAGCCCTGGGGGATGGAGGAGGGCACAGAAGGACATTTTAACTGTGTAGCTGCCAGTCAGAAAAATCTCAGACAAGATGATTTAGGAAAGGGAAAGGAATCAGTGAGAGTGGGGACTGAGCGAGTGAGACACGGGGGAGGGCACAATCAGAGCACAGGAGATACATGGATGAAACTGACACAGCAAAACTTATTCCAGGTACCACATGCTACTACAAAAGAAAAAATAAATAAATATATTTAATCGGCAAACAATGCCATAAATAGAAACACGTCAGTAAAGTTCCAGAAGATAAGGCTGACTGCTCCTTGTGAATGCACATTTCTGGGTCATTTCTGGATTATCCTTACTCTTCCTTCTCCTTTGGTAATTGAACCAGCCAGTAAGGGGCAGGGAGCGTGGCTCGGGGGTTGGAGCCTCTGCCCAGAATCCCCCAGTGATAGGCAGAGGGTGTGGCTCAGCACATAACACTCACAGGTTTTACCTCCTGCACCACATCATACAGACACTTGGCAAGGTGATGTGGGCCTTAATCCCAACATCGGGGTGAGGAAGTATTCATCCTTGGATCCCTGACACATCTCTCTCTCTCTCCCCACTGTGGAGGGCTGCAGACCCCCAGTGCTCTCTTGGCGTCTGCTAGGTCTGCTGTCTTGGCTCTTGACCTTGTGGGAACTCTGAGGCTGAGTCCCAGGCTCTGGACCTCACTTGCCCACACAGAAGTCCTGGAAGATGAGATCCAGGATTTCCTCAGTTCCCCCTCCACCTGTAAGGTGGCTTAGTTGTCTCCGAGCCTGGCGCAGGGCCTCAGCTGCCAGAGCCAGGTCTGTGGCCAGCTGGTAGTGGCCCAGGGCATCCAGGCAGCCCTGGAGGTGGTATTGGTGCCTAGCCCGGGTCAAGAGCGGTGGTCCTGTGGATGGGTCCCCACACCTGCCAAAAACAAGACCTGGTTGTCTCACTCAGCCTGTGCAGCCACTTTTTGAAAAGGCCCTCCCACAGAAGCCTTTTTGCAGAGAGAGAACTGAGGCTGAGGGACAGACCCACAGCTAGCAGCTCTGTTTACACCTGAACTTGGCTGAAGGTGGCTGAGGGGGACTCACACTGCAGACAGCTCGGTCTTCAGGGCCAGCAGGAGGCCGTCCATCCCAGCTCCAGTGTGGCAGGACAGGAGCAGGTGAGGAGGCAGGGCTGTGTCGAAGGCTGGGGCATTAGCAGACAGCAGATCAGATTTGTTGAGCAGCAGCAGGAGGCGCTGTCTGCCACTTTCGTGGCTTTGAGCTACCAGTGGGGCCACCACAGTGTCCAGGAAGCTGCGACTGGAGGAGGAGGCCAGGTCGGAGGCGTCCAGCACCCCCAGGATGAGGTCAGCCTGCTCCAGCCTGGGGAGGAAGGAACCACGAAGCATACATAACCACGGAGGATCCTGGGAAGGCACTGTGGATACTGCTCAGAGAAGCGACTCCGCTGAGAGAGGAACAGCCACGGTAAGGCACGGTCCAGAGCAAAAGTCAGGGCAGAAACAGACGCCATTGTCTGGCTAGGTCTGTTAGGGCGCATGGGCGGGACTGTGGCAGGATGAGGTGGGGGGGGTAGAACCTGCCACAGGTGAGGCTTTGCTAAAGGGGTAGGGCATGGCTTCAGCGAAGACCTGGCAGAACCGTTGGGGGCATGGCCAAGGGAAGAGTGTGGCGAGCAGTGGGCAGGGCACAGAAGGGAACAGAAGGTCAGGTTGTGAGTGTGGTGAGGTGGCCTGAGGAATGACAAAACAAGACTTGGAGAGAGGAGAGGAGTAAGGGACACAGGCCAAACTTGCTTCTCAAACAAATTACGGAAGCCTCCCTGCCCTCAACTTTGAGGGGCCTCAAAACCTTCTGATTTGGGAATAATGAAATCAACTCACTGGTTGCCATATCCTCAGCCTTTTCCCTACCTCTGGCGCGCCCTGCGCACACCCTCCTGCTCAACAGTGCCCACGCCTTCCCGAAGCCCCGCGGTGTCACTCAGCAAGACAGGGAACCCAGCCAGGTCCACGGGAGTCTCCAGCACGTCACGGGTGGTCCCAGGCTCTGGGGACACGATGGACACTGGCTTCCGGCCTGAATGGTAGGGACGGTGTGATGAAGGACCACAGAGTGGAGGTAAAAGCCCCCACTTTCAGGAGGCGCTGCCTGCCACTGTTGTGGCTTTGAGCTACCAGTGGGGCCCCCACAGTGTCCAGGAAGCCGCACCCCTTGCCCGGAAGCCCACCCCGTCCCTGACTGAACCCCACATACTGAGCAGATTGACCAGACTGCTCTTGCCGGCATTGGGCGGTCCAGTGACCACAACGTTTGCCCCCGAGCGGAGCCTCTGTCCACGCCTAGCATCTCGCAGGTGGGAGCCCAGCGCCGCCTCCAAGGCTCGTACATCTCTGTTTGCTGTGAGAGGGAGAAGGCAGGCAAGGGGGGAGGAGGGGGCAGTCAGCAAGGTCTCAGGGGGGTTGAAATGCCAGCCCCGCCTTCCCCAAAGACAGACATACCCTGCTCCAACACACCCTCTTCCAAATTATCATCCTCTCCGAAGTCAATGTAGGCCTCCACATGGGCCAGAGCCTGGGGAGGAGGTGGGGGGATGTCAGAGGTGCTCTCTCAGGTCTAGCTCCAGCTTGACCTCCATGACCAGACTGGCTTACAGGCCTGGAGCTTTCTCTAAAGAATGCATGGATGGAGCTGCAGAGCAGTTAAGAGCACTGGCTGCTCTTCCAGAAGTCTGAATTCAGTTCCCAGAAACCACATAGCTGTTCGCAACATGTATAACAGGATCTGATGCCCTCTTCTGGCATGCAGACATACATGCAGATAGAGCAGTTATAAACACAAAATAAATAATTAATATAAATCTTAAAAAAAAAGAACACGTGGATGGGTGAGCTTGCCTTGGTGAGGGTCTTCGCCCAACCCTGGCACAACTGGCTCAGTTCCCCATCCAGCTGCCTCAGGGCCTGTCGACGCTGGGCCTCAGTTTCAGCATGGATCAGATCTGCCAGTCCTTCCACTTCGGTCAGGCTCAACTTGCCATGGGCAAATGCCCTCCGGGTGAACTCTCCAGCCTCGGCTGGCCGCAGTCCTGGAACACTACCTGCAGGAAAGCACCACAATGTGGTGCACCTGGATTCCCCATCCAATAGCAGGTGACAGCCAGGAGAGCAACAAACCAAACACAAGCAGGCTTCCAGGTAACACAACTGCTTTAGGGTCCCCTGATCCTGTAAGGAATACCAGGAAGCTTACTGGTTCTCCGGGCTGAACCCTAATGGGTCAGTTTCTGGGTGTGACCTGGGCACCCCATCTGGGGGATATAGATATCTCTTAGAACACAGGCCAGCAAGTTAAGGTGTCTCAGCGGTTAAGAACACTGACTGAAGCTGGGCAGTGGTGGCGCATGCCTTTAATCCCAGCACTTGGGAGGCAAAGGCAGGCAGATTTCTGAGTTCAAGGCCAGCCTGGTCTACAGAGGGAGTTCCAGGACAAAGAAACCCTGACTCCAAAAACCAAAAACCAAAAACCAAAAAAAAAAAAAAAAAAGCACTGACTGCTTCCAGAGGTCCTGAGTTCAATTCAATTCCCAGCAACCACATGGTGGCTCACAACCATGTGATAGTTGTAATGGGATCTGATGTCCTTTTCTGGTGTGTCTGAAGAGAGCAATGGTGTACTCATATACATAAAATAAGTAAATAAATATAAAAAAACAAAAAAACAAAAAGCCAGGCCAGCAAGCTGTTGATGTTTGAAGTCACCTGCAGCTGGCCCTCCCCAGCAATGCTGGTTACACACGAAGCCCCCAGACTGACAGAGTGCTGGCCATCAGGGGCTTCCTGTGGCAAACTTGTTGGATGAACACACATTAAGTAAAGGCCACACATTTCTTCCTGGAAAGGCAAGACACCCCGCCCCCCATCCCTACCACCCAGGAATCACAGACAGCCTGGTTGTATGCTGGTAGATTGTACCAGCTACTCATCAGCTCCCTGAATAGCTCTTCCTCCAAACCACCACCAAACATGCACTTGAGCCTGAGCTGTCCTCAAAGTCCTTCCAGTGCTGCAGTCTGTGTGTATGTGCGCCAGAGCGCACGTGCCTATGTGTGGCACACCAGGAAGTCAGAAGACAGCCTGAAGGAATCAATTCTCACCTTGCACCACTCAGGTTCACATTTGGGAACAATCGCCTTTACTGAGACCTGGGTTAATATGATACATCTCTTTTCCCAAACGACAATGTGTTTTGCAGTCTATATCCAAGACCTTGTCTCCCCCAGGAAGTGTCACTCAACAGAGACTCACCTAATGCCTGCAGGACGCCGCTGACCACCGCAGGACCTCCGTGTACGTGCAGCTCCATGCAGTCCTCTCCCGTGAAACTCTGGGGGCCTTGTATAGCAAAAAACAAAACAAAAACAAAAAAACAAAAAACCAGAGTCAGGCGATGGGCACGACCCAGGTTGACTCCTGAAGACTGAGACCTGGACACGAGCGTCGCGGGCTCCTGGATCCCGGCCCTCACCTGGGAACCAGAGGACGAGTGAACGGTCCAGTGGCTCCCCGGAGCACGGGTGGCGGAGAAGGCGTAGGCAGGCGCTGCGGGCAGGAGGCGGCTCCCGGAGTGCCGTGAGGCTGCGGAGCGCGAGCCTGCTGGCTGGGCCGCTGGTGCGGATCACTGCGATGGCGCAGCGTCCCTGGCCGGAGCTGAGCGCGAAGATGGTGCTCCCGGGGACCAAGGACTCTGCACGGGTGCTGCAGCGTGCGCACAGCCTGGAGATCGGAGAGGAAACGAGTAAGCGCATCCAGAACCCGACCCTCGGGGTGAACAAGGACGGTGGGATGGTCGCCCGTGGATGCCCAAGCTGTGCGAGCTGTGGTCAGGCGATGGGCATGGAAGGACATGGCAGCTCTGGGCGCAGGAACGGGGTCTGGAACTTCAGGGGCGAACCTGGGGCCTAAAGCAGCTCCTCGCGCCGTGACAGAGTGTCGGCGCCACCCACCTGAAGGGCGCCCACGCCGCCCGGGTAGCCAGGGCGCTCATCCCACGCCACATAGATTTGCAATTTGCAAGCACCTTGGCCGACACTCCAGCACCGCTTCAATTTCTGAAGTACTGTACTTTGCGGCTTGACTGGCGGTACGACTCTCAAATACCATTGGATCACCTATAGGAGGTCCCGCCCTCTAGCCATAGACTTTGGTTCCTATTGGCTGATCCAAGGGAAACGAAGTGTGTGCAGCGCAAGAGTGTCCCGCAGAAACACAGAGCAAAGTTTTCGGTTCCTAGAGCAACAGGTATCTGACACAATAGTGGGAGGAAGAAAATGAAGGATACATTGCAACAGAGGTTCGAGCCTCGCCTTTTCCTTGTGCGCATTCCGTATTCTTAGAGACGCTAAGAAGCTACGTGTGCGCTCTGATTTCGCATCCATGAAAGGCAGCGCAGAAGGCGCTTGCTGCCAAACTTGACGATCTGAGTTCTGTCCCCGGGATCCGCTTAGTAAAGGAGTCCAGAGTTGTACAAGTTGCCCTCTGACCTCCTGGGAGGGTCGCGGGGGGGAGACATTCTGCAACCCAGTTAGAGACTGGAAACTCAAAGCATCTTAGTGACTGCAGGGGATGAGTTCCGGGGGAAGCCACGCCCTAGGCCAGGGAAAATCTGGTCCAAATTTCTGGGAAGTTTCTTCCTGGCCCTTCCTGGAGCTCTCCAGTGACCCCCGCTCCCCGATCTTTGCCAGCTGCAGCTCCTGGGCAAGCATCTTTAGCCAGGAGCCATCCCCAGGCCAGGAAGCCCTCCAGGCAGCTCCAGCCCAGCTCCGGCTCCAACCCTGGCTTCCCCGCCCTCTCCGGGGTTCCGGTTGGCCGCGGGTCCGAAGTGTGCTCCCGGATAGGCACCCTGGAGCCTCGAGTTACCTTCGGGTTAACCCGGGACAGCGCTGAATTGCAGGGTGAAGGAGCAGGCTCCAATACCAGGTTCGGGGCGGGCGGGGCTTCGCGGGCGCCCTCGCACTGCCAATTCTCTGGTTCTGGACTTGTGCGGGCGGGCGCTCTTTAGTTCAAGCTGCCGGATACAGTATAGTCTCAAAGCCCTCAGGTCCCCATCTGCCCTACTTTCAGTCTGTGAAACAGGGACAGTGACCTTGCCCATCTCCCATGGTTCTATCTTAGCACGTTTACAGCAAGTGCTCATTACCTACTGAGCAACGAGAAGCAAACTGGGCTCCTGCCTGGCCCGGGCTCACAGGACTTCGGGGTGGCCCACTCTGAGGTGGGAGAACTTGGGACATCAGGGCTGTGAGTTGTGGTGCTTGCCTCTAAGCCTGACGACCTGAGTTCAATCCCCTGAACCCACGTGGTGGAAGGAATCAGTTTCCACAGGTGTCCATCCTCTGACCTCCACACATTCCCCAAAGTCGTGTGTTAGACAAAAGAGAGGCGGCCTGGAGCCTAAGGCTTAGCTTCGTGGTAGACCATTACCCAGACAGCCTCCCCAGGATCACCCAGAACATACAAGTTTCAGATAAGCAACATTTCTTAATGACTATGTTCCATGTAGTAGTTAGAACATATGAAACAGTCTATCTGAAGTGCATGTAATTCAGTGGGCTTATTTTTTGACGTCCATTTTTTATTTTTATTTAACGATGTGTAAGCTCTGGGGTCAGGTGTATTCAACATCCCCCTGGAGCTGGAGTTACAGGCAAGGGTAGATGAAGGAACCGAACCCTGGTCCTCGAGAAGAGCTGCAAGAGCTCCTAACCGCGGGGCCATCTCTCCAGTCTGTCTGCCCTTTCTTGACACGGTGTCTTGGAAGTCCGGTGTCATGAACTTGCTATGTCACCTCTGAGGATGGCTTTGAAATCCGGATCTTTCTGCCTCCTGAGTGCAGGTCTGGGAGCTCCGTGCTGGGCTAGAGATCTACCGACTGGGTCACACCAGCCGGTGCCCTGTAGCCAGACCATTTTATTCCATTTATCTGCGTGTGCGGGATGACGCTTGCCCGCATCGGTGAATAACTTGCAGCAGCACCTTTATTTTATTTTATTATTTTTATTTTTTGAGACAGGGTTTCTCTGTGTAGTCCTGGCTGTCCTGGAACTCACTCTGTAGACCAGGCTAGCCTCAAACTCTCGAACTCAGAAATCCGCCTGCCTCTGCGTCCCAAGTGCTGGGATTAAGCGGCAGCACCTTTATATACAGTGAGCGGCTCAAGATTGTGTTTATTTGATAAGTTTGGCACCTGCAGCCTTATCCCTTTATGGAGGCTGTATTGTAGTAATAAGGGTTGTGTGGGAGCGGAGGGCAGGAAGATGTTTTCGGATCCTGAACTGTATGTGCAAAGGCCCTGGGGGCAGGCAGGTCCTGCTATAATTACTTGCACTCCAGTTGGGGAACTTGAGGTATTGTTCTCGGGAATGTCACCCAGTCAGGTCCTCCCTCTCGCACCCAGCTCAGATTCCACCCCCTGTGACCTCAGTACTTTGTAGTGGGTAAACAGAGGCTGTAGGACTGAGGGTGGAGGAAGCTCCTTCTCAGTGCCGACCTGAACAAGCACGGGAGATCCAAGTGGGCGGGCGATAAGGAAGCGCAGAAAAAAACACGGGCGGGGACGGGAAGCAGAGACGAGGCGGGCGGGTGGGACTGAGTGACTGAGAGTGACGCGCTGAGGCTGGGAAGAAGAATCGAGGTTTGGCTCGGGCGGGGACGACAAGCAAGTGGAGCGCAGGGACGGCGGACTGCGCGGGCGGGCGAGAGAGGCCTTTGTCTCTTCCTCGGGCGCGCTCGGCGGTGCCACTCCGGTCCCCATGAGCCCGCGGCCCCCCGGCGCCCGGGCGTCTCGAAGCCCCTAACCTGCCCTGTCCTCGCCATGGCCGAGGCGGCTTCGGGCGCCGGGGACGTGACCCTGGAGGGGGAGCGGGGCAAGAGGCCCCCGCCCGAGGGCGAGCCTGCGGCGCCTGCGTCGGGAGTACTGGGTATGTTTGTTGCGGGTGGCACCGGGACAGGTGTACAGGGTGCAGCCAGGGGCTGCAGGGGACGCCGCTCGGGATCACACATCCTAGAGTGTGGCCCAGAGGCTGCTCCTCGTGGTGCTGCGGCTGCGGCGCAGCGTGCAGGGTTGGGTCAGTGCGTCTGCACTGGGGGTCCCCGGTGCAGGAACGTGGACACGCCCCTCTGACGGCCCCAGGCTGGCCCGGGTGAGCCTCACCACCTGGAGACTCCCAGCACAGGGAAACAGGGAGATAGGGTCCTGGGTTCAAATCCCATGTTGTTTGGGTGACCTTGAGCTCATGGATACATCTCTGGGCCTCAGTTTGGTGGCCTGTGAAATGGGAGGAAGGACTGTACTCTGCGGCTGCTTTAAGGACCGCTCTGTCATACCAAGAAGCACTCAAAGCAGCTTGTGGGCGCCCCATGGATTGTGGTTTGGGAGGCGGTGTTGGGCCTCGACCACGAGTAAGATTCTTAAGGCTGGACCTAGGGGGAAGGGCCTGGCTGGTGCAGGAGAGAGGAGAGCAAGCCGAGGCTGTGGGTGCCCAACCCTTGAGAGCTCTAATGAGGGCCGAGTCAGTCCCTGAAGGGGCCTGATCTCAGCCCAGCCTGCCACGCTGCCCCATAGATAAACTATTTGGGAAGAGGCTCCTGCAGGCTGGCCGCTACCTGGTGTCCCACAAGGCATGGATGAAGACAGTGCCCACCGAGGACTGCGACGTGCTCATGACCTTCCCAGGTATCCACACCTGCCTGCTGTAGGCCCGCCCGGATGCAGCCTTTACCGCCTCGGCGGAAATGTGGAGGCCCGTGTGGGCGTCTCTGAGGCAAGACCCATTGGCCCCTATGCCCCTCGGCAGACACCACTGATGATCACACGCTGCTCTGGCTGCTGAATCACATCCGGGTGGGCATTCCTGAGCTGATCGTGCAAGTTCGTCACCACCGCCACACGCGTGCCTATGCCTTCTTTGTCACCGCCACATACGAGAGGCGAGTCTCCTGCCTCTACCTCCCTCTGGCCCTGTCACCTGGCTCCTTGCCCCTCTGAAGGCCAACTCTGCTAACTATTCGTTTGTCCTAAGATGTGGCTCTCGCATAGTCCTTAGATTGGGAATGGTGAGCTGGGGGTCCCACGGTGAGCCCACTATGCCTTGTCCTGCCCGCAGCCTGCTCCGTGGGGCCGATGAGCTGGGTCTGCGCAAGGCCGTGAAGGCCGAGTTTGGAGGGGGCACCCGCAGCTTCTCCTGTGAAGAGGACTTCATCTACGAGAATGTGGAGAGCGAACTACGCTTCTTCACATCGCAGGTGACCGCCCTACGCCCATGTCTCTGTGCCTACAGCCCTCGTACCTACCTCACACCCGTCTCCCCCACAGGAGCGGCAGAGCATCATTCGCTTCTGGTTGCAGAACCTTCGAGCCAAGCAGGGGGAGGCTCTGCACAACGTGCGCTTCTTGGAGGACCAGCCAATCAGTGAGCAGAGCAAGCCCGCCATCCAATCACTTGCAGAGAGCTGGGCGTGTCTGTTAGAAGATGGGTGCAAAGGGCGGGCTTACGGGTAACCAACCAGAGGCTAGGAAAAATTTGAGTCCCCCCCCAATGAACCCAGAGAGTATAGCCTCTTTCTGGCACCTAGTATAAGCATGGGTGAGGTGGTCCAGGCCAGGCTTTTACATAAGTCTCCAAGAAGGTGTGGGCAGAACCGTGGACAGCACCCATGGGCTAGGTGGTGAGTCCTACTGGGAAACCAGGTCTCTGAAGTTCACTTTCTGCACCAGCCTGTGTCATTCCTTAGACATTTAGACCCAGAAAGGGAGGGGGATGTTAAACTCTAGAATACACTTGGTAGGTATGGTGAGGACATGCTTGTGATCTCCCAGCCCCAATTTGTTAATTCAAGACCAGCCTGGGCTACATAGTAAGACTCCCAACCATCCCTGCCCTTCTCAAATTCATCTCCAGAGTGTGTGGGTTACCACATCCAGCTTATGTCATACTGGAAATGGAACTCAGAGCTTTGACCATGCTAAGCAAAGCACTCTACCAACCGAGCCACATTCCTAGCCTTTGATGGGCTTAAGAGAAGGCAGAAAAACTATGATTTTGGTTCCAGCCAAGGTTTGTTGCCACCTCTGGTCAGATAGTGCAGGGGCAGGGATCACTCACTCCTCCTCCTGCAGTTCCGGAGCTGGCTGCACGAGGCATCATACAGCAGGTGTTTCCAGTTCACGAGCAGCGTATTCTGAATCGTCTCATGAAGTCCTGGGTGCAGGCCGTGTGTGAAAACCAGCCTTTAGGTGTGGCTCTGTGGCTGAGGAGTGGGCTGGGGTTCCAGGAGACACTTAGTGGTGACCCAGACTCCCTTTTCTCCTGACAGATGATATCTGTGACTATTTTGGGGTGAAGATTGCCATGTATTTTGCCTGGCTGGGCTTCTACACATCGGCAATGGTTTATCCTGCTGTCTTTGGCTCTGTTCTGTATACATTCACTGAGGCTGATCAGGTACTGGGAAGCACTGGGCCAAGACTGTGGGTGGTCTAGAAGGCCTTCCTTCATAAGCTGGCTGTGTTGATGACTTGACTTTCTTCTGCTCCCTACAGACAAGCAGGGATGTTTCCTGTGTGGTCTTCGCTCTCTTCAATGTGATCTGGTCAACACTGTTCTTGGAGGAGTGGAAACGGAGGGGGGCAGAGCTAGCCTACAAATGGGGTACACTAGACTCACCTGGGGAGGCTGTGGAAGAGCCACGTCCCCAGTTCAGGGTCAGTCTGGGGCTGAGGCTTGCTTCTCAACAAGGCTGTAAAGAAGGAATGCTGTGTTGGGGAAGGTGTGGGGGGGGGTGGAGGAAAGGGGTCTCTAGGCCTAGTTAGGTAACATCAGAGAAGTTTGTGGGCCAGGGAGGGTTGTGACAGGATGGGAGGAAGTTGGATTTGAGGTTTGAGAAGGGTGCATCAAGAAGTATCTCTTGTCAAAGAAAAG